TCATATATATATATATATATATATATATATATATGACGTTGTTAAGTATATCAGGGCCATACACACAAAACAGTACTTGCTTGCTACCTCGTTATCCTAATTGAAGAGCGCACCCAGGTCAAGATTCAACAAAGGTAGCTGACTCAACAGCAACAAAGGCTCATAACCACACTGTCGCTCGACCGCAAAAATCAACCACCCCTTTGTGTGGAGGAGTAGGTCCCGCGAGCCTGGCTGAAGTCAAGGGTGCGGGGCGGTTACGATTCTTGACTGCTCCAAAAGCTGAGGAATCTCGAGTTTCGCGCCTCTAAAGGGTTGGGCGTTTGAAGGGTTTGGAAGGAGTATGATGACACACTGATGGGATTCCAGCGGCCCTCACATAATAAATTCCGTGGATGAAATAAATCAGACACCTCTCGTTCTGAAGTACTTGGGTGGCTCGGCAAAGTGCTGAGCCTGTTGCGGTATTGGTAACTGGGAATGGCAATATCATGCTTCCCGGATTCAGAACAGCACACTCAAGCGGGAGAGAATAAAGTAGATTACAAAAAGTCTGCGAGTTGACAGAGATATCCACTTTCACTGAAGGTGTCCACGTGTCACTCCTGCTGCTGGTGGCGCTGAAAGAGGCGTTAGTTTCCGCCCATGCTACCTCCATCATCATTAGTATTGTTAGTTGTAAGTGTCATGATTGTACCTCCGTGAAATTAAAGGCACATTATAGTAGGCTAGAAGTTTTCCCAGTTACAGCCTTTCGCTTACAAACTGTCGTATAACACAAAACACCGGTGTTTTGACGTTGGTCAAGCTGTGAGGATGGGGATTATGACGCGCTTACGCACCTCTTTTCAATAACATAATAAGTGCATTGCACCCATCTTTCAAAACCTTTTGGTATGGATTTGGTTTGTAATAAACTGGTCTACAGGGAATCGACGTTCAATTCCTTTTATTGTACGGATGCATTGATTCTCAGTACACTGGCCTACAACCTTAGTACATTTTCCTTCGTGGGAGACACCGAAAGAATCAGAGCGATGGGTACAGATGGCTAGCGGTAATGAAGTGACCGCTAACAACCTGGACGCATCTAACTTGTCTCCTCCAGACCAAATAAAAGAAAAGAGAAAGCGTTCGACTGTAGCACCCTTCCGGTGCCTAGCTACCATGCCACCCGAAGGAAGCACGAGGGCTAGGATACTACCAGGTTGCCCAAGTCTAGACAGGGGAAGTCGAGAGGGGGGAATCGGATTCGAACCACGGACCTTCCGGTCAGTAAATTCGCACTCTAACCACTTGGGCCATTCCGCCCCCAGACAAAATAAAGAGGAGTGTGTTTAAAAAACATGAGAGGGCATTTACAAAAAGATGGTTCGATATTTTGTGCCTAAGGATGATATTAAAATAAAAAACGGCACGAATTTCTTGCATCTTTCTCAGAAATACCAACTGAATATCCCAACATAAAAAACAAGTCATGGAGAAAACACAGCAATAGGGAAAAACGTTGACCATACCCAGATTTTTGGAGTAGCATAGATGCACTAGCCGGAGCAGCATGGGCCGGAGGGATAGGAACTGGAAGTGACATTGGTTGATCTGAATAATCCGAGGAGTCCTCTATGCCAACTTTATTCGGGACGATAGATCCCGGTGGATAATAACCACTTCGTGCATTCGGGAACTCAAATCCGGTCAATCGGACAGCTTGTTTAGCTAATATTGCCAGCTCACGTTTGTGGTAAATAGCAGCCGGAAACTGGCATGCAATCTGAGCCGCTGCTTCATTGACCGCTTGCTGTAGATTAAGGTAAGAAAAAGTATTACAAAAACACTACGAACCTCATAAAGGGTGAGCGCACGAGAGTTCGGGCCCGATGGTCTAAAAATCATGGAATGCTTGCGCATAAGATCGACTCGATCGGGACGATCGGATTCGCCGCGAAAATCCATCAGGTCAGTCATTTCACGATAGGCTAATTCCGACCCTTGTTTCCGGCTATACGGCTCCGGTTGGAATGGCCGGTTTTCACGCGACTCACACACCATCTTTGCTGCATTTCTTATTGCTTGTAAATGTTCACTCTGCAAAATGACCGGCCTCCAAAAGCTGACAAAAATAAACTAGATGGAAGTGATGACGGTGGCTTACCCGGGCTTATTGTGTACATCTTGCGGCTCGAGTTGCTGAAACAAAAGTCCTCACCAAAAAACGATCAATGAACTTACGTTAATTCCTTCAGATACAATATCAGCTGCAAAACAATATGACACTTAAAGTCAATGTATTGTATTGCCCGCCCCCAGACAAAATAAAGAGGAGTGTGTTTAAAAAACATGAGAGGGCATTTACAAAAAGATGGTTCGATATTTTGTGCCTAAGGATGATATTAAAATAAAAAACGGCACGAATTTCTTGCATCTTTCTCAGAAATACCAACTGAATATCCCAACATAAAAAACAAGTCATGGAGAAAACACAGCAATAGGGAAAAACGTTGACCATACCCAGATTTTTGGAGTAGCATAGATGCACTAGCCGGAGCAGCATGGGCCGGAGGGATAGGAACTGGAAGTGACATTGGTTGATCTGAATAATCCGAGGAGTCCTCTATGCCAACTTTATTCGGGACGATAGATCCCGGTGGATAATAACCACTTCGTGCATTCGGGAACTCAAATCCGGTCAATCGGACAGCTTGTTTAGCTAATATTGCCAGCTCACGTTTGTGGTAAATAGCAGCCGGAAACTGGCATGCAATCTGAGCCGCTGCTTCATTGACCGCTTGCTGTAGATTAAGGTAAGAAAAAGTATTACAAAAACACTACGAACCTCATAAAGGGTGAGCGCACGAGAGTTCGGGCCCGATGGTCTAAAAATCATGGAATGCTTGCGCATAAGATCGACTCGATCGGGACGATCGGATTCGCCGCGAAAATCCATCAGGTCAGTCATTTCACGATAGGCTAATTCCGACCCTTGTTTCCGGCTATACGGCTCCGGTTGGAATGGCCGGTTTTCACGCGACTCACACACCATCTTTGCTGCATTTCTTATTGCTTGTAAATGTTCACTCTGCAAAATGACCGGCCTCCAAAAGCTGACAAAAATAAACTAGATGGAAGTGATGACGGTGGCTTACCCGGGCTTATTGTGTACATCTTGCGGCTCGAGTTGCTGAAACAAAAGTCCTCACCAAAAAACGATCAATGAACTTACGTTAATTCCTTCAGATACAATATCAGCTGCAAAACAATATGACACTTAAAGTCAATGTATTGTATTGCTTACTTTCATTTCCTTGTTCACCAGAAGCTGCTGCAGCTGCGATTATTAGATTGTCGATTTCACTACTCTGTCTTTCCAGTGTATTAAGACTAGCATCGTCCATTGTGTACAATAAGCTGAAATACAATCGAATGAGAAGGCTTGAAGGTCATTATTACACACGCACACCCAGATACACCTAGACAACACACGCCAGCGAATCCATACAGACGAGCAGTACTCAGGTGCTGTGAGCAAGCGACATGAGGCGAACTTAGTGCAAAAATAAAGTTGTTTGGTTAGTAGAATGTGTACTATTATACCCTTCATCAAGAGAGGCTATCCTTTATGCGTGTTTGAACGGTTTTAGATTCAAGAGGAGTCCCGATCCTCCTCTAGGTGCATCATGAGATTCTTATAAACTGAGGGCGTTCAAAATTATTCGCGACACCAGCGGACAATAGCAAGTTACCAAGGCAGTCACACATCATCATCTGCTCCAAAAAACCAAGTACTTGCCATGCAGTAGTTCTAGCTGCCACAGTTTCGTTCACCGATGCTTAGGGGGGATAGCTGCGCATTTCAGGTAGTAGCTGATACAATTGATGCGTGAACTTCTAATTGGATAGACTCGGAGAAGAAGCATGCATCGAAGATACCAACTTGACGACTTGCTCCTTAAGATGTTGGCTGCTGTGACAGTTATGGGCCAGACACCACTGCCTTGCGGTCAGGCTTTCGAGTTGAAGGCTTTGGTCGATGACTCTAATCGTCCTCCTGTCTGAGTCTGGGCGTCCCGGCAGATCCCAGTCAACATGCAACCATGACGCCCACATGTCACCCGAGCTATCATCATCATCATCATCATCATCATCACCATCATCATCATCTTCATCATCATCATCATCATCATCATCATCATCATCATCATC